GACCTCAGCTCTGAACATGCCCCTTCACACATACTGTGTACCTACACACGTGCACCTGTATACATGACACTTCACACATACTGTGTACCTACACAAGTGCACCTGTATACATGACACTTCACACATACTGTGTACCTACACACGTGCACCTGTATACATGACACTTCATACATACTGTGTACCTACACACGTGCACCTGTATACATGACACTTCACACATACTGTGTACCTACACACGTGCCCCTGTATACATGACACTTCACACATACTGTGTACCTACACACGTGCCCCTGTATACATGACACTTCACACATACTGTGTACCTACACACGTGCACCTGTATACATGACACTTCACACATACTGTGTACCTACACACGTGCACTTGTATACATGACACTTCACATATACTGTGTACCTACACACATGCACCTGTATACATGACACTTCACACACCCTGTGTACCTACACACACATGCACCTGTATACATGACACACTCACACAGAGATTGGCTGTCTCGGGGGACCGAGCTCATCTTTCTCTCTCCTTTTCCTCGATTTCTTTGTATTCCTGATTTTCTTGCCTTTGGTGAATGCTGGCAAATGCCTCTCCTATCTTTGACATTCTTATCAGAGCAAGAACTGAGACTGTGTATAGAAACCATGCTGCCGGTGCCATCATTCAACTTGTGGCGGACAGGCATGCTTTTAAAATTAAATGTAAAATGAAAACTTGCAATGTTCTCTGAAGGAAAGGTAATGGGCTCTTGAGGCCACTCTGCAGGGTGTTTCCATAAGGAGGTAGTGACATGTGAAAGCTGACTAGGTGGGACCAGCACCCCAGGTCAAAGTCGAAGCATGTGTGACCTCCCTGTGGCAGGTGAAGTCACTTTTAGAATTAATGGATGCACAAAAATGGGAACAAGTTTTCTCAGATAAATAAACAGTAAGGCTGGAGGTCCAGGGGTATATTATGCAAGGTGTAAAATAAAATGAAATAAATAAAATGTCCTAAAATAATGTGGAATAAAGCAAGAAGTGTTGATTAAAGATCCAAATGATGTAGTAATATCTGTTTTGTGAGGGTTGCCAGGTGGCATTGGACAGACTATGAGTGCCAGCCTGAATAGAGACAGGAGGAAATACCCTTGCAGCACCTCTGCATCCAAGAGGCAGTGGATAGCAGAGTCTATAAAAGCAGAAAACATTACAGGAACCAAATGTTTAGACATTAAAGTAGCTACTGGCAGCCTGGCTCACCAGCAGCAGTGTCTTGGAAGCAATCATGCCTCTGCTCTGTCCCCACATTTGGGTGGAGTGCAGTGGGCTGTGGCTAATGCATGAATGTGCATTCACCTCCAATATGCCTGGTAAGGGTTCCAAGGTTTCCCCACATGAGCTCTTCTTCTCTTCTGTGGTCTCTGTAGGATAAAAATCCAGCCAGTTCCTCTGAGGCTTAAGGTTCTCCCTGGATGTCCATTGCTTTTTAGGGAGTGTACAAAAACATTAGTTAAGAAAGCAGAGCTATGGAACTAGCTGAATGAGGAAATTGTTGTGTTGTGTAAGCATGAGGGCCTGAGCTTCGTCACTGGAACCCACATAAAAAGCTGGGCATGGTGGCACGTGTTTGCAATCTCCGCAGAGGTAAGGTGGAGATGGGTGAATCCCCAGGGCTCCCTCGACAGTCGACCTAACTAAATTGGTGAGCTCCAGGCCAATGAAGAGAAACTGTCTCAAAAAAACAGTGAAGAGCATCTGAAGAATGACACTTGAGGTTGACCTCTGGCCTCCATATGAATGAACAAATAGCTTCATCTGCACACACACACACACACACACACACACACACGCGAACTTGCACACACATGCATGCATATGTACATGCATGCATAAGCACATGCACACACCCAGTCTGTATTTTTCCACTGGATCTGTTGAGAACATCTTGTTTCTTTGTTCTGTCTGTGTCTTTATAAATGACTATTTCTAGTTTCACCTCGTAACAATAATCTCTGCCTTTTCTTTTCTATAGTAGCCTACCTAGAAGATTTGACACATTCTTATTAGCAAAAAGAGGGAATGTAAGATTAATTTCAACTTCAGGGTGTGTTTGAAAACTAACTGTGAGATGTGGGCAGCAGACATACATAGACATAAAATTAATTGCTATTATCTGGGTACCACACACCAGAATATAATAGGAGACCATGATGCTCAGAGAAAACCTTTTCCGGGATGGAGGTCACTTTTATTCCTCAGTACTGCAATGCTTTGGGTCAGTGAAGAATTGCTTCTGAGACTATACAAGACGGAGAACAGCTGCTAAGTGCCTGGGCAGTGGGCCAGATGACAAAGCTATGGTGTGCAATTAAACCTGCCTCAGTTCTCTAGCCGTAAGTAGTTCAAGTCCACAAAGGGTGAGAAGGATTATGCAATCATGCTCTGATAAAGGAACATGTTAGCAGCCACAGTGACCTCTGAAAGATTTGATAGAGTATGAAAGGCCTGTGATATCTCCAGAGAGCACTCTTGGGTGGCCAATGAAGAATGAGTTCACATTGGACCAGATGGAGGCAGCTCAGAAAGAGAGAAGGATGTGATCAAAGGGCCAGAAGAGAAATGACATAGCTGGGTGTTAGCGTAAATAAGTAGACTACAGGAAGGAGGGAACATATGGGAAGCTTGAGACTGAGTATCGGAGATAATTGCTTTTAATAAGTAGGAGGATGCATACAAATTTGCATATGTAGATGAGAGATACAAAGGGTTCAAAGTGGTTCTACTCTTCCTAGAAATCAGACTGTCTTTCTACTTAGGTCAAAAAATGCTGGGAGTTGGCTGTTCACTCCTGAACTGTCTCAAGTGTTCTTCAAGGATCATGGTCCCCTAGTCACCTTTTATCTTCCAGATCTCAGCTTCCTGCCAAGCTACTTTCCTTTACTTTTTCTTTTTAGATTTAGTTATTTTATTTCATGAGTATGAATGTTTTGCCTACTTGTATATATGTGGGTTGTGTGCGTGCCCTCAGAGGTCAGAAGAGGGCACAAAGGCCAGGAGAGAGCATTGCATACAATTGAACTCAAGTTAGGAATGATATATGTCACATGTGTTCTAGGAGCTGAACCAGGGTCCTCTGTAAGATCAATATGTATTCTTAATTGCTGACTGGCAGTGTGTGTGGGGTCAACAGTAGGATCTTTGTGAATTACTGGGTGTGAATGTGGGGGAAGATGGGTGGGTGCACAGAGGGACACAGGAGTAAATGCATGGATGCATAGGTGGTGAGTGTTTAAGTAGAAAATATGTACATGTGAGGATTGATGCATAGATGAATGGGTAGATAGATACATGGTGGATAGATGGATGAGTGGGAGATGGGCAGGTGACATACACCCCTACACACACACACACACATACACACACACACACACACACACACACACACACACACACACGAGGATGGGCTGGTGTGTGAGCAAACAGATGGATAAATGCATCAGTGTGGGTGGTCAGATGGTATGAATAGATGATGTGTGGGTGGGTGGATGAGTGAGTGTGTTGGGTAGATGAATGGATTGGTGAGTGGGCATGTGATTGGGGGAGTGAATATGTACATAAAGATAGATGCATGGTTGAATGGGGCAGTGAGCAGTTATGTATATGCAAGACTAGTAAGTGGATGGGTGAGTGAATTAGTGGGTAGTTGGCTAGATGAATAGGAAGTGAGAGTAGATATGAGTGAGCGGGTGGACAGATAGATGCATGCATGGATGGAAGCTGGGATGGATTCATGTTTGTTGAGGTGGATAGGTAATGGATAGATGGGTGAAAGACACATAGATGGAAGAATAGTCTATAGACTGATGGATAAGCGGATAGACGGGTGGATGGTAGATAAACATAAGGAGTAATAGTACATGGATGGATGGATAAGCGAGTAGATGAGTGGGTTAATATGCATATGTGTAGGTAAGCGGATAGATGGGTGAATGGTGGGTAAATGAATATTTGTTCATTGGTTTATGAGATTTCACATTGGCTAAAAGATATTACCTAAATAAAAAAAGCATGAAAGAAAAGGAGGCCACCCACCCTTTATCACAGCATAGCTCTGTATATTCTCAGTTATTTCTGCTTTTCTCCTTTCTTCCCAAAAGGGTTGGGGCTGAAAGGAAATTTGGAACTTCTTTGAATTTAGCTCATGAAATCCAAAATATTAGCCTTGAATATCAAGTATTCTAACTTCCCTGTGACTGTGTAGGGCCTGGATCTCACGGTGTGAAAGAGCAGCAAAGAATGTCTCGAGATTTGGTGATCAAGTTCCAGGCTTTATGCAGTATATCCACTCACAGTCTGAGCCCAGAGGTGTAGGGTATAGTAGGAAGCTGTTTGTTTGTTTTTCCGGCCACCCAGACTCCCAAAATAATCACACAGAAACTCTGTTATATAAATCACCACTTGGCCAATCACTTAAGTGTATAGCTAGCTAGGCTTACATCTAGTATTTAACCCATTTCCAGTATTTTATATTTTACCATGAGGCTCGTGGCCTACCAGCAAGGTTCCAGCATGTCTGCCTCTGGCAGCAGCTCCATGGCTTCTCTTCTGACTCCACCTTATTTCTCCCAGCATTCAGTTTAGTTTTCCCCACCTACCATTGTTCTATAAGTCACTGGCCAAAACAGACTCTTCATTAACCAATGGTATTCACAGCATACAGAGGGGAATTCCACACCACAGTGACCTTTCCTGAAATGGACAAAATAGTCATACCTTGCATGCTGGAGAATGTAAAGATTTAGTACACACATTAAAGAACCTAGTCTTTGTTTTCCTATTGGCTTCACCATAGTAAACTTACAATACAGTCAGGGACTGTTTTAGAAGCAACTAGTGCTAGTATAACTGAAGTGGCACGCATAGGATAATAGAAATGCCATTCAAATGCAGCTTGGGCATATGGATCCTCTTTCTCATGGTTCTTCCTCTTTTCTTCCCTAGGAAACTGCTCAAAGACCTCATGAAAGTGGGACTTACAACTTCCTTGATCAGGCTCAGCATTCAGTAAGTGCAACCCATTTGCAGTGTTCCTTGTATAAATGCATCTGTGTCTTTGGTCTCATTTCTAGCAGGCTGTCTTCTGCATGCCACACAGTTCCCACAGAAACCTTGCTGCGTACCTGCTCTCTTCATTTGACAGTGCTGTGTTGGATTCAGAGGGAAGAATGGAGCTTGCCATGTAGAGCATCGTCCCGGCTCTGCCTCCCAGCCCTCTAGTGAATGTGGGGCAGGGTGTGCATGTCAGCGGGTTAGCCTCCACTGGCAGAATTGGAAAGTTCATGTAATATACACTCAGGTTCCTTCTGTTTCCTGTGGTCTGCTCAGAAGGAGAGACTGTGTCACTTTCCCTGGTCAAATGACCCTCCAGTACTGCAAAAAGAAAACCCAGCACACTGATCTGTTGGTGACCGTGAAGCTCCAGAGACTTTTAAAGATAATATGTTTTGTACTTTTAGAACCAGAACCTGTGGGCACAATATATAAACCTACAGTAGAAGAAAAATCTGTGCTTTAAGATACAGGGGAATGTTTTAGAAATTTCAATTGTTTCTACCCAGTTATTATTTTTTCACTGTCTTCCTTTGCCATTGCACATAAGAACTTCATTTTGGTGAGGCTAGTAGTATTTGTTTTCCCCAATTTCCCCACGTCTTTTTTTTCTCCCTTAATATCCACTAGCATCAGAGTCTAGGACCTCAAGAAATCTGCCTTGGGTTTTCCTCTGCAGTAGTTCTGCTGAAGAATAACATGTTTTGGGAATAAAATTGTTATCATTTAAGGAAGAAAGGAAGACGTGAAAACTCTCAAAGTTTCTAAGGAACTATTTTTTTCTTAGCTGTGGCTCTTCCTCCATTACTTACCATATCTGGCTTCCAAGGGCACTAGAGTCTAACATGGTTGGTTCATGAAACATCAGCCCATGTCAGAGTGAGCAGGTGGAACTGGAGACCAGGGAACTCTGGACCAGTGAGGAGCTAGCTGATTACAAGGACACTTTAGCCCTGGGTAGAATTGCCTGGCAGTGTTTCTTGCTGTGGAATTTACATATGCAAATGCAGAGGCGGAGGAGACAAGGAGAAGCAAACTGCTGGCCATGTTAGCTCTTTACTCCACCAGAATGTTCGCCCTGATCAGCTAAAGCTTGTATCACACAGGGGATTAGAGCCAGGCTTTTGTTTCTAATCGTAAAAGAGCTTCCGTCTCTATTCCCTAGCTGCCACATCTATCTTGTCAAGCATTTGAAGTCCTCTTTTGGTATTTCCTAAAAACTGTGAGCGGTTTCTTAAGTAAAAAGGAGCTGGAGCTATTGAGTATTTAGTCTGTTCAGAGCTATAGAGCATCAAGTTAAACCTGCCTATTTCTTTATCTTCTTCCAAGTAGCGTCCTTCTCTTGTTCCCTTCATTGTGCTGGGACAGCAAGCAAGAGATAAGAATATGAAGTGTTCAAGGATGGAGTTTTAGAAGAAACATAACCCTCTCTGCCTTCGCCTTCAGAATATGATACAAATTGTTGCCTCTCAGAAATGAATTTATGTTCAGGTCGTGTGCTGGGTCTGGAAGCTGCTGACCTAGGGGAGGCTGTGGTCCCTGAGAGAATCAGTACAGTGGTGTATGGCGCTCACATTATCTCTTTATGGAGATGATGTATCCTACCTACAGCCACAGTTTAATGAGGGAAAGGAAGTATTAGTTTACTGTTCCTTACTACGTACTAGCAAGCAGATACGATAATTTAAAAAAAAAAAAACTTGAAAGAACAAGAGATAGGGGAAATGTCTCATTGCACACAGACGCTGAGGATTGGTGTCTAACCACTGCTCACCTAAGCTGCTTTCCCCGAGACTAGAGTGCCTGTGATATTAGAAACTCCAGTCTGTTTCCAAGGCCAGAAAATCATTCCATTAAGAGGAGTTGAGTTCTGGGAGGTTCTTTGGTTCCTAGGTGGACCAGTTACGTTGCTAGTTGCTCTGATCAGCACCAGAGAAGAGCAGCTTTGGGGGAGGAGGGATTGGTTCAAGTGGGAAGTTACGGTGTATCATGGAAAGGAAGGTGTGGCAGCCAGAGGGGAAGGTAGCTCTTGTGCTGAATCCGCAGTCAGGAAGTGGAGGGCAGGAATGAATGCCAGTGTCCCACTAGCTTCCTCCTTTCATTCAGTCTGGGGCCCTGGCTCATGGAATGGGGTCACGCACATTTAGAGTGATTTTTCATACCTCAATTAATCTAATCTAGAAATCCCAAGCACATGACCAGAGAGATTTATCCCCATGGTGATTCCAGATCCCATTGAGTTCGATTTGGTATCACACCTGGGGAGCAGGTACCCTGGCAGCAAGAGTAGCCCATGTCCTTGCACCCTCGGGTGCTCTTCTCTGCTAACGTGGGGTCCATGGCTGGCTAGGAAACTGCCCCAGCAACTTCAGGAATCTAACCAGGGATAGCCTTATTGTGGCTTGGATTTATATGCCTGACTTGCCTACTGACCTTGACACATATCTCAGATTTGATGTTGCCATGGCTTCGGGAATCACTTGTATTTCCTTCTTCCAACACTGGTTATCCTTTGGCATTTAAGGTTTCTCGGGACATTTCTTTGGCATTTGCGTCCTTTGAATACAATTGGCCAATGAGCATGGTATACAAAGCTAGTTCCTATGAGCCAATGTCTATTTTTCTGTCTTTTTACATCCCTGGGTGATGTGTTTGCTAAACACAATGTCACGGGAAACACGTGCTAGCAGGCTCATTGGTTGAACTTAGGCCTCAAAGCAATTTCCTACAACTTGTAAATTTAATGTCTAACAGAAGGTTTGTTTGACCTCTCCCACCTGTCAGATAATGCTTTCACGTGTGCCGTGTCACAGTTATTAATCCGTGAATTAATTAATGGGGGAAAGTTGTTTCAATGTTTCCTTCTCTTGATTACCAACTTGATTGGATGGAGAAGTATACAGGAGATTTGGAAAGCAAATCTCTGGCAACTGTGTCCTTGAGGGTGTTTCTGGATTAACTAAGGGAGAAGACCCACCTGAAGTAGGTGGCACCTTCTTTAGGCTGGGGATCCAGACAAAACAAAAGAGAAGCTCTTTGTATCCCGCCCCCCAACCCCTTCCACCATGAAGTAGCTGTTCTTCTCCACCCTGTCCTCTCTCCATAGTGGACTGAGTGCTTGAAATAGTGAGCAGAACAATTCTTTCTGAGTTGTTTTCTGGAGTGTTTGTCTCTGCAACGAGACAGTGACTAATTCATTCAATCTGTCACTTTTGGCTCCAAAAGGAAGCAAATCAAATTCTATTCACTCACCCATGACACTACTTTCTTCTCAGGTACTTGAGTCTCATCCTTCAGTGATGAACACAGTCTTATTCTCCACCCCGCATCCAGGAGATGAGGGCACCTCTGCTCAAAGCATCTTAGGAGCTTCATTTGTAAGCTTTATGCTACCATATTTCTTAAGCAGTCAAAGCTGCCTATTGGAGAAGGCTTCCTGGGTACTTTCTATGCCTATACCTTTTGCTGGATCCCACCCAACAGACTGAACCTGCGACATTCTCAAGGAATGATCATTACCTACTTAGTTGTTCAGAAAGCTATGATATGCATAGTTTACTATCTCTCTTTGAAACACTAAAATCCCTTGCATTCCACCAAGTGGACTGAGCCCAAGCCCCTATTACTGATTATTTCAAATACACTTAAAAAAGTGTATCTTTGAATTCATACTTCTAATGATGTAATCTCAGTTTCTTGACTGTTGTAGATAATAATAGTAATAAAAAAAACAACTTTAAGTTGATCTCCAGGATGTAAGACTGACCTCTTGATCATTCTTTATTTAGTATGAGAATCTTGATGAAGAAGGCAAGAGTAGAAGGGTGTGTGTGTAGATAGTTTGTGAAACAACAGTGAATTCCATCAGGAAGTTGAAAACTGAGTAGGTAGGCTGGACAAAGGAAGAAGTCAGAAGCCATCAGTTGGTATGGCAAAGGGAAAAGGAAGAAGGGAAGGGGAAAGGAAGAGAAGAGGAAGGAAGAGATGAAGAGAGGGAGGAAGGAAAAGAAGGAGAGAAGGAAAGGAGAGGGAGAGAGAACACAACAGGAGAAAGACATTTCTGTAATTGAGGGCTGGACAGATGACAGGATTGCTTTTAACTGCGGTAGTCCCGTGGCTTCTGGAATAACACACAAAATGATGCCCTTTTCTTGATCACTCCCACACGTTGACACTAACCTTCTAGCAACAGTCTCCAGTTGTTCAGTTCCCTGTGGGCCACTCTCTTCTCCCAAGCTGCTGCACAAATAGAGTTCTCTCAGGTTTTCTTTTGCTACCACCCTGCATGAATGAAGCATTTGGAGACCTTTTTGATTGGATGTGCGTGTGAGAATGGGAAGTGAGGGGGAAAGACAGGAAGTAGGAAAAGAAGCAACTATTTTGCATAAATTTCATCAGGAATGGAGAAGGTATGGAAGAGAAGAGTGTAATAGGAAGATGTCATGGTTTGTATCTTCCAACACTTAGTCCCATCTGCTGTGCAGTTTTGGGGAGTATGGGCCTTCGGAATGTGAAAGTCTAGTTAATTGGAGGTAGCTTTTGGAAGACATAGCTAAACTTGTTTCTAGCTTAATTCTTCATCTTTGCTTTTTTCTACTGAGATGTTAAAAACGTGCTGTATGTTCCCACTTCCATGAAGCCATCCACTACCACACATTGTCAACCATGGTGGGTCTTAAATCCTACCATCTAGTCTGAGCCAAACTTTTTTACACAGAAGAGTTTTAAATGGCTGTAGTCTTGTTCATCATAAAATGTAATTATGGGGTCCAACACCTATCCTGAAAACCAACTTAGTTTTTCTTTCAATTTATCTGTAACAGACAAGCAACTGAAGAGTGCATCACGAGGAGGACTAAACAGACATTTGCACAGAAGCATGGACTGAAGGGATAGAGAAGTGTGTCTCTAAACAATAATCCAGAATGAATTCTTTATCATTTAAATCACAACTT